CCTTCCTTCCTTCCTTCCTTCCTTCCTTCCTTCCTTCCTTCCTTCCTCCCTTCCTTCCCCTCTCTTTCCTTCTCTTTTTTCTTCTATTCTTTTCTTTGATAGGGTTTGTCTTTGGAGCCCTGGCTGTCCTGGAACCTGCTCTGTAGCCCAGGCTAGCCTCAGAGAGATCTGCCTTCGTCTGCCTCCTGGGTGCTGGGATTAAAGTCTTGCACCGCAGTGCCTGACTCTTGTGCTGTGATCTTATACAGACCACGGTACCAGAAAGCAATGGTAAGTTTTAGCTCCACTGTGAGCTTACAGGGTTGTTAGCATATAGTCAGAGCGTCATTAACTGGAATCCACTGATGATGTCCCCATCAGTTCATCTCCTTCCTGTGCATCTTAAACTGCAGATATTAGCACACTTTGAAATAGTGTTGTTTACTCAAGTTCAACCTGTGGAGACAATTCCTTTTCCTCTCAGGTAGAATTTTCTTATGATAGCATGCACACATCTAAAATGTACACTTGTTGAGTTTTGGCAAATTCATAAACATTATTCTGATATTCTTCCTCCAAAGACTAGAGTTTCCTGTTCTAGGATTTCATGTAAATGGAACATACTGTCTATACTCTTTTGTAGTTGCCTCAATAATTCAACATAATGCTTTTTGAGATTTATTCATGGTGTCATGTGTATTACTTTCCCCCTTTTTATTACTGAATGGTACTTTATGGTTATCCTATGATTTGTTTTCCATTCTCTTAAAATGGGTAGACACCTGGGATATTTCTAGTCTTTCACTCCAATGAGTAGGACAGCTATGAATATTCTTATATAAGCGTTTTTATGAACGGTTCTCTTGATTTCTCTTGGGCATGTAGGAGACAAGGAATTGCTAGGTCATAACGGATGTGCTTGTTTTATGAGAAACTGGGAGAGCTTTCCAGAGTGAGTTTGACCATTTGATACTTTCACGAGTAGATATGAGCATTTTGGCTTCTCTGTGTCCTTGGCAACATTAGACACAATATATTTAATTTTGGACAGGCTGCTGGATATATCATGCCATTCACTCTGGTTTTCATTTGCATTTCTCTGATGACCAATGATATACATTTGCATTTAATCTGTTTTACTTCTAGCGTCATGCTGACTTTCTTATAGAACAGACAGCCGAGGATCCCTTTTGGCAGTGGTCCAAGTTTCAAGGCTTTCTACTCTGGGTGATTTCTACTCGGGCTCACAGGAGACACAGATGTGCGGGTGAGGTCCTGCACACAGTGGACAGCCTGAAGGGGATAGATACTGACCTATGGAAAATTTCCAAGATAGAGTGGCAGTTTCCAACACAAACATTCACAGCTCCAGGTTTCATAGAATAGCCACTGGATGACTAAGACATGTTAAAAAAATAAACCATGTAAGTTCTTTATACCTTTTATGAACTAGACCCAGTCAGGAACTCAGCTTTCCGAAGCAAGTTTCAGAATGAGCGTTGATACATGGTAATTGAGATTTCCCAGGGGCTGGTGTGTAAACACCCTCCTGCCTTCCGTCTCCAAGGAAGCCGACTGCTCATTCAGCACTCTGCCATTCTGGCTCATGAAAGATGCTCTTCTACTTAGAATGAACAGCAGCTACCTGGTTTTTAAAGTTTAATAATTGGAATCTGAGTTATCTGTGGTCTTATAATCATTCACTTTCCCAGGATATGGGGAAAGGGGAAGGTGAGCTATAGGAAAACCTTGTATGAATTAACTTCATGGTGACTAGTTAGTTTTTAGTCAACTGGACGTTACCTTCAGTCGTGTGGGAAGAGTGAACTCAATGCTAGGTAAAAACAGCTCAAAAATTGAATGTTATTATAAGCTTCACTTGATGGAAATTATACAACTGTTAATAAAGAAAGGCTCTCTAGAAAATGTAGGCAGTCAACAGAAAGGGCAGGAAGCCATATTACTCCTTTACCACAAGGGTAAATATGTAGAATAAACCAGAGCCAGGCACTCACTAGAAAGTACTGAAGAGAAACACACATAATGCCAATGGGAGGAGGGATGTGCGGGTTGCATACACGTAATGCCTTCCTATGGGAAGAAAGCGTGTTTTAATTTTTAAAATATATAGTCACAATAATTATTATTCTCATCATCACCACCACCATCATCACTAGCGTGTGTTTGTCTGTGTATGTGTGTGTGTATACATGTGCCATGGCGCATGTGTGGAGAGCTGGTTTTCTTCTTCCACTACACGATAGGACTGAACTCGTCATTAGGTTTGTGTGTCACGTGCTTTTACTCACTGAGACATCTGTCTGGCTCTTTCACGTTTGAAATATTTTTAAATCATGTGTACATGCATGTGTGTCTGTGTGTGCATGTATGCGTATGAGTGCAGGTGCCTGCAGAGGCTGAGGCACTGGCTCATTTGGGGCTGGAGTTGCAGGCAGCTGTTGGCCACCTGACGGGAGTTCTGGGAGCGGAACTCAGATGTTCTAAAAGAGTCATATGTGCTCTTAACCCTGAGCCATCTCTCCAGCTCTCTCTAGCCCTTGTAAATCATCCTTGTGTGTATGTGTGTGTGTGTGTGTGTGTGTGTGTGTGTGTGTGTGTAGCCTTGGTTGTCCTGGAACTAGCTCTGTAGCCCAGGTTGGCCGGAAACTCACAGAGCTCCACCTGCCTCTGCTGGGATTAATCCCTCATGGGATTAAAGGCATGTGCCACCTTCCTCCAACCCCGCTGTGATTTTTTTTTTTAAGCCAAACTAACAACAATGGTCACTGTGGTTTTTCTCCAGCTTCCTGGCATTTAGCACTGACACAGTGGGCCATCTAGCCTTTCTGCTGAAAGCAGTGACTTTTCGAGAAAGGGTCCTTCAGCGGAGTCTGGTGTCCAGAATTTACTATAAGGTAAGGATACGGTTATGTTTGTTTTCCTTTTGATGACTGTGTGAGGCATAGATGAACCCTGTGCTAAATTTAGTAGGGAATAAATCTGCTTCATCAGAAGCCTGGGGGTGTGGTCAGAGCTCTACAGGCTGTCTACAGGGCAGCCCTACCTGCTCTGGAAGCATGGCGTTACTACCTAACCCTGTTGTCCTGATCTAGAGCCCTGCCTGTAAGCATCATTTGGCATCATGGCAGGTACAGAGTGTAGTAGTTTTCACTGGAAATGGGAAAAAAATTGTCCTCTGGAGAAAAGTTGTTCATCGAACATCTGTAATAATTAGCGTTGTGTTAGTCTGAGGTGCATTGTATTTTCTATTAAGAAATCCAGAGATTTCTGTGAAAGCAAAATACAGGAGGTGGAGAGATGGCTCAGTTCTTAAAGTGCTTCCTGGGAAAGCAAGAGGACCTAGGTTCTTATGCCCAGGACCACCACCCCTACCACACACACACACACACACACACACACACACACACACACACACGCACGCACGCACGAATGCACACACGCACGCACTCACGCATGCACGCACGCACACGCATGTACAAACCTGAGTGCGGTGGCACACGCCTGTTGCTCAGTACTGAAGCGGTAGAGACAAGAGTTTCCTGGGCTTTGCTGGGCAACCTATATAGGCAGTTGGTGAGCTCCGTGTTCAGCGAGACACCCTGTCTCAAAAAATAAGAGAATGGAAATGAGAAGGGATGGAGGAGAGCAGCTCATGTTGAACTCTGGTCTCCTCATGCACGTGCACACAGGCACGGGCATCTACTCACCCACACAGACCTACATACATGTTCCTGTATTCGAACACACACATATGCAAAAACCATTATACCATCATTGATAGCTATCAAGAAGGACAAGCTGTCATGCACGAGTACCAGCGGGGTTGGTTTGAGGAAGCACTACAGTGCTGAATGTTTCATCATTTGCTCCAAGGCAATTGGTCCAAAAGACCCCAGCAAGCTCTATTCGTTCATTCTCTATCTTGAGTCAGTGCCCGGGTCAAAAGAACCGGGATGTAGAAAGCTGCTCTTCTTCTGTGCTGGAACTACGTGCTGAAATACAAGGACTGAGTCTGAGGACTCTCTTTCAGTCCACCTCTCTTTACCTCAGTGACGTAGTGCTATAGCTTGGTCTAACAGCAGAGCCAGGAATGAAGAGAATGTAATGCATACAGAACCAGGCATTCCCTCGGGAAATAGGCTGTGTGCGCAAGATTCCTGGAGATACAGAAGCAGTTAAGACTCACACTTATGGAACAGTGCCACACTGGGTAAGAACTTTTCGGAAGCTGGGCTTGGGGGTGAGCAGATCAGCCCATCTTCCAGGGAGAGATAAGAGGCAAAGCTCTGCCAGACCACAAGGGCACAATTGGGCCAGTCTAAGTCATTCCACGCAGCCTGGGATTTTCATGAGGAGGGCGGCAGAGAGGGAAGTATGTAACCCACTGCACCAAGAATGGAGAAAACCAGCCTGGGAACCATCTTTTGATTGAATACCGTTGAAGAAAAAAAAATAAAGATGAAATTGCAAGAGAGGAAAATAGACACGGGTGGAAAACGGTAACAGTCCAACCAGTGGAGAGATCCCAAAATGCCAGAACAAATCACAGTAACGATCACAGACACGACAGGGAAACATTTTCCTTGTATTTCCAAGCACGTGCATGTGTAGAAAGCCCATGCCTGTGTATCAGCTGCTTTTCTCACTGCTGTGACTAAAGTGGCTCAAGGAAGGGTCTGCTTGGGCTCACAGTTTGAGGGCACTGTCCATCCTAGCGGTGGAGGCACGGCTGCAGGAGCCGGAAGCGGCCAGTCAGCATTGCTTTCTGCACGAGGGTTTGGTTCGCTTTCGTCTGCTATACTCGGCCTGGCTCCCAGCCCATGGGATCCTACCGCTCACATTCAGGGTAGATCTTTTCTTCTCAGTTAGACCTTTCTGGAAATACCCCCAAAGACACACACGTATGTGTATTTTCATGGTGACTCTACTGCTCCTAATTCTATTCCCCGCATAGTGTGCCCCGAGATTTCCAAAACTTTCAGAAATATATTCTATCTACAAGTTGTTCTCTGCCCGAGGAGGAGCCATCATTTTCATTCGTGTCGATTCTGATTTTGAGAAAAGGGAAACTTTCACACGTGTGAGTGTGTTTTCCAAACATCAGATAAACATTAGGCAAAGGATGTGCTGAGAAAAACTGAAAAGGACTTTAGAACCCGACAGTTAGGATTCACTGCTGCCAAACTTCAGCAGCGTCTTCTGTAATTTGGAATAATAAGGCTGAGCGCAATGCAAATGCGCTGCGTGGCTGGAATATCACTGAGTATGTAAAGTAGCCGTTGAAGCTATAACTCTTGCGTTGGTGTTAATTACCTTAGCCTCTCCGCACAAGTAACCTGTTTACGGACAATACGATTAAATATTCATAGCTCGAAGACAGTTTCTGGGGCTAATCAGAAAAAAGCCATCAAGATTATCAAACAGGCTCCTGCCTTGGGGAAAGTCCACAGCTAGTTCTAGCCCGAGGCGAAGTTAAGACAAAACCTACAAGGTTAGAAGAAAGAATATGAGCGTCTGCTATTTTAGTTTGTATTTTTTCACCCAGCTTTCCACCTCGCTTGTGTTTATTTCCATAAATTAATTTTGTATGTTGTAATGAAATGATTCTTATTAGCAGTTGGAATATTTAACCCAAACAGAGGCTGGTCAATGGTCTATGGCTAGTATCAAAGGAGGGAAGGTTCATCTAGAATCCCAGAATTTTCCAGAGAAGGACTGTAGTATTTGGCTCAGAGCTTTTAGATAAGAAGTCAAAGCCATGAAGACTTCAGAAACCCGTGTCTTTCCTAGTTCTTTGGTAAAACTTAGACTGTTTTGTTTTTTTTTTTTTTCCAAAAGCACATTCCATTATAGACATATTTGACCAACCTTCTCAATGCACTGGACAACCCCTTTGCCCTCCCCCCCCCCCGCAGTGATCTGTGGGTCCCACAACAGAAGCAGCCTTTGCAGTCATTCGTCAGTGTGTCCCTCTCCTCAGAGTGCTCAGGTTTTCACTCGAGAGGAGGCCCCGAGAAGTCTCTGCTTTGCCAGAGGTTATAGGGAGTACTTACCCCTGGGCTTGTTTCTCTGATTTTTTTCAAACTTGTGTTGCAAGAGCTGTTCATAGCTGCTGCCTCTTCTCCCCACTGCTGGGGGGAAATAGAAACCAATGAGCAATAGTTTGTCATACTGAGAATATTGCATCAAGAAAAGCTGCCGTTCTGCAGGGAAAATCTGTAGACAAGAAGATGAGTTGTCAGTAAGCAGTATGTTTGAAAAAAAAAAGGCTTTACTTGCAAATGTACATGACAGAGGCTGAGTAGGTAGAGAGATGAGACTATAGGGAAGCGAACTAGTCCTAGTTAGCCTCGTCGGCCTCTCATCGAAGAACATTTTCTCACACTAGCTACACCGTACCTTATTTTTTTGTCATTTCTTTGGTTTTTGAGAATTTCATACATACATAAGTGAACTCCTTCCCCTTCCTCTCATACTCATGACTTTTCCTATAACTACTATTGCTACCCAGATCTATCAATAGACTTAGTGTTGCTGTATGTCCCTGTGTTTAGGGCTGGCCACTTGGCATCACATGACTGATTAAATGACGTGTCCTGGGTTCTCTCTCTCTCAGAAACTGTTGAAAGCCCAGAGCTCTTCATCTAGGAGGGGGAACTTCCCCCATTCCTGTTGCCCTTATGCAGGGCCTGCTTGGGCCACCCTATTGCTGAGATTTCATGGGTCAGTCTTCCTGCCAAGTGTAGAATGTACTATATTTCAGTAGCCCTGGTCCTCTGGTTCTTTCTCTAACTCTGCCTTGTTCCCTGAACCTTAGATACAGAGGTTATGTTGTGTGTGTACCAAATGGGGCTGAGCATTTCCTGGCCACTTATCCTCTGCATTTTTACCAGTTATGGACTTCTGTAGGAGCCTCCATTTGTTGCAAGAAGAAATTACTTTGATGAAGGGTGTCTTAGTTATTTTTTTCATTATCATGGTAAAACACCATGACCAAGGCAATGTATAAAATAAATCTTTAATTTGGGGTTTATAATTAGAGAGTGTTAGAGTCCATAAGCGTCATGGCAGAGTGTGGTTCCATTTCACCCACTGCCTCTGCTCCCACCACTGCCACCGCCTCCACCGTCGCCACCACCACCACCATTACCACCACCGCTCAAAGTATGCACTTCTTCTGAAGGAAGGTCTGAACATTATCGCCTTCCAGGCAGAAATGGATGAAACTTGAGTCCCAGGTTCTGCTTCCCTCAGAAATGGCTGGAGCATACAGAGTGAGGTCCATTCAACAAGATGCCCGATCTCACAGGGGATGTGGAAAACAGTTTTCCATCCTGTTACAGTTAGCTCTTTTTAATGAGATTGCTGGTACCAGATGGCAGCAGAAACTTGGAGTTCCAAAGCTGGAGGCGGTGCTGATGCTGAAGTGTTACAGCCCTTGGTAAAACCGTCTCTTTTTTTTAATAGGAATTTTTTAATTTTATTTTTTCTTCTCATTTATTCATTATATATCCTGATTGAAGCCCCCTCCCTCAACTCCCCCAATCCCGCCCTCCCTCCCTCTTCCCCTCATCCCCTTCCCCTAGTTCACTGAAGGGGGGAGTTCTCCACCATTGCCATCTGCCCATAGCTTGTTAATTCTCATCAGGATTGTCTGGATCCTCTTCCTCTGTGGCTTGGCAAGGCTGCATCATCAGGGGCAAGGGATCAGAGAGCAGTCAACTGAGTTCATGATAGAGGCAGCCCCTGATCCCCTCACTCAGAGATCCATATGGAGACTGAGCTGCCAATCAGCCACATCTGAGCAGGGGTTCTAGGTCCTCTCCATGCATGGTCCTCCATTGGTGCATCAGTCTCTGAAGGGCCCCCTGGGCTCAGATCTTTTAGTCTTGTT